TTATCTGTTATCTGTTATACGTATATGTTTGTTAAATCAATAGTGTGTAAGTGTACAATTTTAAATTATAAATATAATATAGAGATAATTTATACATTGCATATGCGACATTGTCACCCATAAAATCAGGTGTAATGTAAATCAAAGCAACCGAATTATACTATATAGTTAGGATTAGGGTTAGGTTTGGTTAGAATATGAGCAAAGATAAGGTCCTATAGTAAAATTTTGCATGCAAGGAATTTTTTTTGTTAGAGCACTAAAGATGGTTTCATATGCAAAATTTTGAGTTATAGGTGATTTTTGTCAAAATGAACATTTGTTTTGAATTTTTTAATCGTGTAATATTACACCTGATTTTAAAATTTGATTGGTCTATCATGTGAGAGCGACATATAAGACGCATCACATAGTGCAATAAATAAATTTATTCAACAATATATTGTAATAAACAAACAAATTATAATTCTCTAATAATATTTCTTTTATCTGTTATCTGTTATATGTATGTATTTGTTAAATCAACAGAGAGTAAGTATATAATTTTAAATTATAAAATATAAAATATTGTCAACAAACAAACAAATTATAATTCTCTAATAATACTTCTTTTATCTGTTATCTGTTAATATATATGTGTTTATTAAATCAATAGTGTGTAAGTATATAATTTTAAATTATAAAATATAAAATATTGTCAACAAAAAAACAAATTATAATTCTCTAATAATACTTCTTTTATCTGTTATCTGTTATACATATGTGTTTATTAAATCAACAGCTTGTAAGTGTACAATTTTAAATTATAAAATATAATATATTGTCAACATACAAACAAATTATAATTCTCTAATAATACTTCTTTTATCTGTTATCTGTTATATGTATGTGTTTGCTAAATCAACAGGGAGTAAGTGTACAATTTTAAATTATAAAATATAATATATTGTCAATAAACAAACAAATTATAATTCTCTAATAATACTTTTTTTATTTGTTATCTGTTATACATATATGTTTGTTAAATCAACAGTGCGTAAGTGTACAATTTTAAATTATAAAATATAATATATTGTTAACAAACAAATAAATTATAATTCTCTAATAATACTTCTTTTATCTGTTATCTGTTATACGTATGTGTTTGTTAAATCAACAGTATGTAAGTGTACAATTTTAAATTATAAAATATAATATATTGTTAATGAACAAACAAATTATAATTCTCTAATAATACTTCTTTTATTATTATTTGTTATTTACTCTTATATGTGTATGTGCCAAACTAATAGATGGTAATTGTACAATTTTAAATTATAAAATATAATATATTGTCAATGAATAAACAAATTATAATTCTCTAATAATACTTCTTTTATCTGTTATCTGTTATACATATGTGTTTGTTAAATCAACAGGAAGTAAGTGTACAATTTTAAATTATAAAATATAATATATTGTCAACAAACAAACAAATTATAATTTCTAATAATATTTCTTTTATCTGTTATCTGTTATACGTATGTGTTTGTTAAATTAACAGAGAGTAGGTGTACAATTTTAAATTATAAAATATAATATATTGTCAACGAACAAACAAATATCTCTATTTTATTATCTGTTATTTTCTTACGCGTTAAACTAGGCGGTAAGTATAGTATTGATAATATCTAATTTATTTTGCAAAAATGTTTAAATAACTGATAGCAAAAATCAATAAAAATACAGACAAGCTTATTATAGAACATGTAATAAATGTAAACAGTATAACACATTTTATGCCTGGTGTCAGATATGTGATTTTGAAACAATTGTTCAAGGATAGTCAAGTAGAGATGAAGACATTGATAATAGTATTAAAGAACTTATTAAAGAGTTTCAGCGCAAAGCTATAATGCATGATGAGGTAATTGAATAGATCCCATTTGATAGACTATATAATATCAAAAAATTGGTAAAGGGGTTTTGGCTCAGTATATTCAGCAATTTGGTTGGATGGTATACGAGTCACTGAAAATAAAAATAGTAGCTGGGTAAGGACACGTAAAGAATCATCTAAGATTGCACTCAAAACTTTACCTAATTCTAAAGATCCTAAAGATCTTTCTGAATGTTTAAAAGAAGTAAGAAAATTGGTTGGTTGTTATAAATTTTTACATATCAAACAAATATATTAATATAAATTTATTTAACAAGTTTAAAAATCATATGCAATGTAGATTAATGGGAAGTGAATTAGAAATATATGGATTAACTAAAAGTGCTAAAGATAATAATTATCTGATAGTACTTCAATTTGCTGTTATTGGAAGTCTTAATAAGTTTTTAGAAAATATATTTAAAGGACTTATATAGAAACATAAATTATCACAACTTATTGATATATCAAATGATTTAGTCAAATTCACGAAGCAGGATATACTCATCGTGATTTTCATAGTGGAAATATTTTGCAAAATGAAATTGGGGGATCTATAATTTCTTATATTGCAGATCTTGGATTGTCTAAAAAAATTGAAGACAAAGAACATAATGAAGAAAAAGAAATTTATAGAGTTATTTCTTATGTAGCACCCAAAGTTTTGCAAAGTGAAAAATATATATCAGCAGCTGATATCTATGGACTAGGCATTATTATGACAGAAATGTCATCTGGGCAGAGACCATTTGATGGTCGTCTATTTGATCTTAAACTTTCAATTAATATTTGCCGAGGATTATGACCAGAATTTGGTAATAGAACTCCAAAATGTTATATTAGGTTAGCTAAAAGATGTATAGACGCAGATTCACAGAAACGACCTACTGCAAATGAAATTAGCTTAAAGCTTTATCATCTTTGGAGCTATATTTGTGGCGACAATAGATCTGACAAACTACGAATAAAAGATGAATTCTTGGCTGCTGATGAAACTATTAAAACATTACCGGGTATCACATAAAAACATCGAGATCATATGTATACTAGCAAAATTATCAACACTCAGAGAATTTCAAGCGCAGTTAAAGGTATTTATTTTAAAATTACACTATATTACTTATTTCTTTAAAACTAATAATACTACCTTAGCAGCTTTGCCAAGTAAACCTATAGATTCCACTGAAGTTCCTGTTGGTATGTACAATATTAAGTTTTATGTAATTGTAATTAAACAGATTTATTGCTTATTGTGAATTGGTATTTAGATTATTAAAGTAATTGCTAAGAAGTAAAAATTTATTGTCCTTTTTAATATTTATTCATATTCTATGAAAATATTTAAATAAAAGTTATTTATTTTATTTTTATTTTTAAATTTTATATGCAAGATGCTTTTGATGTTAGATGTTTTAATGTTTAGAAATATAATTAATACCAGCAGTAAATAATCAAATATTAGTATTTATCCTCTGAGTATATCAAAAATTCATTGTAGTATTATATTTGAGAAATCAACTGAAACATTCAATACTATATATTAAGAGCAGGAAACTCTTTTTTAAGATATTGTAGCTTATTAAAAATCTGCGCATTCAAATTTTTGGCATTTGTAAGCTTATTTTCGCTATAGCAATTATGATTAGTCATTAAAATAACATTTAGATTTTTTAAAATAAATAATGTCTTGAGTATTATATCACAGTTAATAAACCACATTTTTCCTTTGCAACCAATTTGTCCCACATGTTTAGATAGGAAAAAAACCTTGCTTTTTTACAATTAACCGCTTGTAAATATGTATTGTTTTTTTTTATTTTTGGTGTTTTTAGTCCTCTTTATAGGAATTTCTTCTAATCTTTTTTTTTATATTGTGCTATTAGGTTGGCGAGAATACAACTCAAAAAAATAACAAATAAACAAATAAATAAAATAAAATAAAAGAGAAATGATATTTTTGATTCATACAAACACTTAAAAAATTGATTTCATAGTTCCTTCATAAATTCATATTTCACTTAACCTAAAAAGTAGAGTTTACAATGAGCCGTTTGTCCAGGCCCGAATCATGAGCCAAAAAATAATACAATTTAATAAAAAGTTAATACATCCATCTTAAACTCAGTTTGTTCCTGACGGCATCTTGATGCCGTCAGAGTTCAAAATTAAATAAGAGTTATTGATCACAAAATATGTCAAATATGACTTAAAGTGCCAAATTAGCTTACATAGTGTTTATATTTTTGATAATCTATTTTAAAAATTCAGGTTTCAAAAGCTTTTAATGCATATGATTTACTAGAGTTTCTTGTATTTACCATATATTATTCTAAATTGATTAGTAGCAAAATATCACATAATATTAAGATACAAACCTTATATAAAACTAGATTCGCGCATACGATTGGTATATTTATAAAGTTGAATACCGTGCTTCGCGATGTTGTCTAAATACGAAAAGTTATGAGAACATAATGATTCACTTTTTAATTTGTACAGTGCTAATGTGTATAGAAGGATAAAGATTCAAAACAATTTCATATCGTATATTAACATATATGACTTTTTATGCAATAAAAAAGATATGCAATTCAGTATGGAGTTTATTAATCTAAATTGAATACAGAGAATTATCATCTTGTTTACAGTAAAATTATTCTTTGATGGAGCTACTAAAATACTAATGGTTTCTTTTTTATCGAATCTTGACAATACTCCTTCAATTTCATGCACTATCTTAGGCCTAATTTTATTATAATCCTTATCATTATAAAATTAAAAAGATTAAATACATGATCAATGAATATTACTATAACATCTAGATACCCAAATATACACCCAAATATATCTTGCATTGAATGATTATTGTATATCCTCTCCAGCCTCCTATCCAATCAATACCTCCGTCGCCTGGTGTATGTCTATCAGATTAATAAAAATTGAGTATTTATCTTCATTATAGTTAAGAGACAAGAAGAACGTTCCATGATTATGGCCACAATGAGCTATATTTACATCTAGTAGCAGCGCAACTTCAAATACATAACTACTAGACAATGATTCAGTGAATACTCACTCAAGTCTACTTATTAGTTTCTTTATTGCTTTCTTTATTGCTTTCTTCATTGATTTCTTCATTGATTTCTTTATTGATTTCTTTATTGATTTCTTCATTGATTTCTTCATTGTTCCCATCAACATTACTTGCTTTGACAACAGTTAAATTGTTTTCATTATCATCGTCAATAATGATTATTTCATTCTCATTTTCGAATTTTAATAGAATGTAATATTTTCCATCAAACCTTTTTCTTCTGGTTTTTCAAATTAATCTTCTATTTTTTTCTCATTCTAAATAAAGATCTTCCTCCAAAATAGTATTTCTTTCAATTATTTCCTTGGGATTTTGAATAGCAAATTGTTTCAAAAGATGCGAATAACTTCTTGTAATTATTTGTTTTTTATTTGAAAGCTCAATACTAAAATCTATTTTGTGTTTAATAGAAAAAGAACATCTTCTTTTTGTATATTCTTGTTCATTTTCAATAGTATAGGTTTTCCTTTTAAGTATAGAACTTGAAGCTGACATTTTTTTTGATAAATGAGATTTTGATTGAGCGACGCAAGTATTTTTTTTTTGATTGATGTGAGGGAAAACAGTCAAAGGTTTGACAACGCATAGTAAGTGAAGAAAAAGGCCAAGAGGATCGATAAGGCCATTGCTCGAATATTTTGAAAAATCAAAAATTTAAGAAATGAACTCCACAGAAAGACCATAAACCTTCTCGAGAAAGAATATGACGTAGTTATAATTCCAGAGTTTGGTGTGAAAAGTATGATAAAAAGACAAAAAAGAAAGATCAGATCCAAGATCGTGAGAAGCATATTAACATAGTCACATTATATGTTTAAACAGAGGCTAAAATCCAAAGCTGAAGAAACTGGTGTCAAAATCATCATCCAGGATGAGGCTTACACCTCAAAAACTTGCTCGTGGTGTGGTAACGTGCAAAACATCAGTGGTAAAAAAATTTATAAATGTAAGAGTTGTAACTTAGAAATAGATAGGGATGTAAATGGAGCTTGAGGGATCTTCCTTTGAGCATTGCTTGATGGAGCCATATGCATGTATATGTAGGAATTAATAACTTAGCAATGACTAGTATAGATTATTAATAATGTATTACAATCCATCCAATATTGATCAAACAAATGGTTTTATTAAGAGATTTTAACAGAATAAACAAAAACAATGTAATCATTGTTTACAAAGCTACCAAATTCTACAATATTAAAAATTGGTACAAACACTAATAATAAACTACAACAAATGAAATTAATGAACAAATAAAGTAAGTGTTTAATAATATTACGAAATCCCGATTGAGCAGATCTAAAAATAGAAAACTTGGCTTCAAATTGAACTAAAAAATATAAAATATTAACCCTTGAAAAATATAATCAGAAATAGATAATAAAATTTAATGCAGTATTTACAATATAAACAAATCCATCCGACATAGTTCATATAAGAAAATAAATTCGTGTTAATTGATAAATGATAAATACTCGCTAAAATCACAATTCTTATAAATAATACCAGTTTTTCAAAAGCTTGTTATTGCATAATAAAGTAAGTATCACAGAAAAGCAAAAGATTAAAAAATTAAATTTGCAGACATTAATCACATCTCTGCAGCTGTAAAATTATCAACTGTAATGATTAATATAATATTAAATCAACCAAATAAAACAAAAAAAAAGATTTTACATATCAGCTGAAAAAAAATCATTTCGATCAAAGGTTTAACTGAAAGTCCTAGCAAGAAGGCCAATGCCTAAAAAATATGAATTTAAATATATCAGAGGTGGAAATTTTAGAAATAATAGTATTAAGAAATTAAACATACTAATAGCAGATAGTAACGTAATGTTCTATTGTAATGTGTCTTGATGGTGATAATGTGTATTAACTAGAGACTTACTAAAGGCAGAATGTAACTTCCCTAAAGCAATTAAATAATAATTAACATAATGTTCTATTGTAATGTATTTTGATGGTGATAATGTATATTAACCAGAGACTTACTAAAGATTGAATGTAACCTCCTTAAAGCAATTAAATAATAATCTTAATTTTATATCAATATGATTTAAAAAATAATTTTAACATACTTTAATAAAGTATAAGCCAGTATAAGCTCCAGAAGCAGCCAAAAAAGAAAGGCCTCCAAAAGTTAGGTAAACCTTGCTTAAATAGCATTGAACAGGCTTGTTTAGATCATTTGTCCCAGAATCTCAACTAGAATTTTGTGATTTCATTATTTTTCTGTCACCAAATTTTTTAGCACATACTAGACACAGACTAAATTTTTTACGTACCTTTTTATATTACATAATTTATTTAATACAATTGTATTGACTTTATATATTAAAAATATACCTAGTTGATAACTATAAGGCCACACAAATTTAATTAATTGATTTTCATATCATGAACTGGTGCCTAGTGACACGGCCGCACAGATTTTTTTTTTTTTAAGAAAAAAATTTTTTTAAAAAATAACTGACACGGCGTATTCATATACAATTATACTGTGTGGGAAAAATATGTGCGTGTAAAAATTACATTTAAAATGCTGATTGTTTATGTCAGTCACTCTGACCAGTTACAGTTAATAACCGGTTATAACTGGGGATGTGCCGCTGCACAGGCGGAATTTTTCAGAATTTAACAATTAATGCCTGCATTAGCAGAAAACTGCCTTAATGCGGGCCTGTGCAGTCTGCACAGTAAATTCAAAAAATCTTCGATTTGCCCATCCCTCGTTATAACTGTAACTGAACCCATCTTTATTCTGGAGCATAATATTAGATGATAATCTTTTTCTTAGTAATTAAAAACGGATAATCAATTTCAATTACTATCATTATCGTTGATGGGATGTTCTTTTGTCATCGAATTGCGAGATCAGATGACTTTATAGATGCTTAGATTGACATTTTATGAACTGTAATGGTTGCTGTGTTGTTCTCGTTAGATCAGGTTTTTCTTGGTTAAGTTTATGATCGTTAAATGGCGAACAGATGTGGATGTTAGCAAATTAGTGCTAAAGTAAAGGTGTATTTTTATATGGCTTCAAGCGTAAATCAGACCAGTGGAACGGAGGGAGGAAAGATGTAATCTAGTGTATTTAAGGGTGATGTTTTTTTAATAAAAAAAGCTTATCTTACTCTTTGCTATAAGCTTGCCTTGCAGGAAGACTACTCTATCGCCCCTCCCATCCCACCCACAGTGCAGTGATCCACAATAAGTTTACATACTTGACGGTTTACTTATATGATAATGTCAGACAGTAGCTGATTTTTTTTAGTTTTTTTATTTTTGTAACTATGAAGATCTGCGGCTGCTGCAATAGTACAAGGATTTTGTTTTTGTAGTGATTAGGCTCCGAGGCTGGAGTAATACAAGGATTTTGTTTTTTTAGTGATTAGCTCCGAGGCTGCAGTAGTACAAGGATTTTGTTTTTGTAGCGATTAGGCTCCGAGACTGCAGTAGCAGTGCAAGGACCTTAGTAATTAGGCTCTACTGTGATGTAATGTAATACCTGGTTAATGTTTTTGTAGGCTGCAGTAGCAGTATGATACGGCTAGGGAGAGCCAATTTAGTTAGTGTCGTAAGCATAAAACCTGATGGTAAGTGGTCCTTATTTAGTAGTGGTTATCAACTAAGGTATGCTAATGCGTCATAGGGGTTGTGCAATGCTACACTTAGGTTATATCATTGCCTTAATTAAGCTATATTCGTAAG